CGAGATCTCTCTCTCTCACACACATGCAAATATATGGCATGCTACAGAACCAACTGTAAGAGACACATCTTGCATGCTAACAAGAAGTGATGTTGGGGGATCTAATCACTTAATCACTTAACTTCCCGTTAGTCGTCGATTTGCTCGAGTGGGCGCCAGTAACGTGTCCATTTGTCCCTGTCGCGTGCTAGTGTAGCCCAATGGCATCTGTTCGCTCCGGGAACATGAAGGGCCTCAAACCGATCGTTCATGATCTTGACGAAGAAGTCTGACCATCTGGTAGGTGGGCGGCCACGCGGTCTTTTGACATCCCGTGGAATCCAATCAGTAACAGCTCTAGTCCAACGGTCATCTTTAAATCTCATTACATGACCAGCCCATCTGATTTTCGACACCTTGGCAAATGAGACAGCGTCCCTGATCCTTGATCGTCGACGGATGTCAGAACTCCGGATTCGTTCTCTCATTTGAGTGAAAAGTGATATTCCAAGCATAGCTCTTTCTATTCTTCTTTGGGAGACCTGAATGGCGTTCTCATCTTGTTTGCGTAGGGCCCCGGTCTCTGAGGCATATGTTAATGCAGGAAGAACAGTGGAATCAAAGAGATGTGCCCGGAGCCGGAGGTTCTTCGTCCTCTTAGCTATTTCTTCGACGTTCTTGAAGGCGTTCCAAGCCGCTCTCTTCCTCCTGCGCAGCTCGGGTGCCAGGTCATTTGTCATGTTGACCTCTCGACCTAGGTAGACATAGCTGTTGCATTCGGAGATGGTCATTCCATTGAGAGCGAATGGGGCGTCAGGAACAAGGCTGTTTCTCATAAACATTGTCTTCGTAAGATTCAGCTGTAGTCCTACCTTTCCACACTCACGGTCAAAGTCGGCCAGCATTTGTGCCGCTTGGCTGATGTTTGGTGTTATTAAAACAATGTCATCAGCAAAGCGGAGGTGGTGTAATTGCCGACCATCTATCTTCACTCCCATTCCTTCCCATTCCAGTCGTCGCATGATGTTCTCGAGGGTGGCACTGAAGAGTTTCGGTGAAATGGTATCACCCTGCCGCACCCCTCTCTTGACATCAACGATCACTTCTTTGTAGAATGGTGATATCCTGGTAGTGAATCCGCAATAGAGCTCACGGAGGATCCTGATGTATTGGGCTTGAATGCCCTGATTGACTAGGGCTTCAATGACCGCTTCCGTCTCAACAGAATCAAAGGCCTTCTTTAAATCAATGAACGTTAAGCAGAGCGGCATCTTGAACTCCCGAGAAACCTCAATGAGCTTGGTTATCGTGTGGATATGGTCGATGGTGCTGAATCCTTTGCGGAACCCTGCTTGCTCGCATGGTTGTCCTTCATCTAATGTTCTGCCAATCCTATTCAGGATGACTCGAGTGAACAACTTGTAGATGACAGACAATAGGCAGATCGGGCGATAGTTGCCAATGTCATGGATGTCTCCCTTCTTGAACAGTAGTACGGTCCTGCTGGTTTTCCATTGGGACGGAACCTTGCATTCAGACAGGTAGCGAGTGAAGAGCCGAGCCAGTGTATTGATGAGTACTGACGGCAGGTTCTTCAGGTGTTCAGGTCTGACCTTGTCTGGGCCGGGTGCTGTTTGTTTCTTTACCAACGAAATGGCGTGTCGGATTTCGGAGGGGAGAACGTTGGGAACAATATACCCATCCTGTGGAATTTGGTATGTTGGCAAGTGGACATGGCTATCGAAGAGATTTGAGTAGAAGTCATGGATAATCTTCTCCATTGCCGTTCTGGAGGATGTGATGGATCCATCAGGACGTCGGAGGGCAGTCATCTTGCTCTTATAGTTGGCGAAGGACAGGCGGGCCTTACGAATACTTTTCCCGGCTTCTGCCGCATCTACCAGTACTTCTGCTCTTCTCTCTTTGAGGTCTTCCTTGATCGCATCTCTGCACTGCTTTGCAAGCTTGGACGTTAGCTTGCGGTTGCCTGAGGCATGCGCCAAACCATGCTGGCGAATTAGCTCAAGAGTTTTCGAAGATAGGAGATTTTTTTGTGGCTATCTCTCTCTTGGCGTTCCTCGCACATTCGTGGAGGTGCTGAACCAGTCGATCGTATTCCTCGTCAATGTTGTCAACAATGGCATCTTCCCATGTTGCCGCAATAGTACCAAAGAGTTCCCAGTTGGTGGTCATTCTGGGAGTTCTCTTTTTGAACTTTGCAGCCCTTTCTCCCCGCTCTGTGAAGTAGAATTTTGCACGAAGGAGACGGTGGTCCGATCCCGTTTGAAATTTTGGGACAACAGCGACATCAGTCAGGCAAAACCGTCGATTGAATATGATGTGGTCTATTTCGTTGTGGAATCGTCCACCGGGAGACTCCCATGTCCATCGTTTAGATTCTGCCTTCTGGAACTGTGAGTTACCATGGATGGTCTTGGTCGACATGATGAACTCTGACAGTCTCTCACCCTGTTCGTTCCATTCTAGGCCATGGGTCCCGATGTGAAGTTCTTCAGCTGATCTTCTCGGTCCTATCTTGGCATTAAAATCACCCACAATGATCTTGTAGAAGGTGTGGTCTTCTTTATAGAACTTCTCTAGCTCCATGTAGAACTTCTCGATTTCTCTTTCATCATAATGAGATGTTGGTGCGTAGACAACGAAGATAGAAACTGCAGGCAGTGAGCCACATCTATTCAAATGTAAACGTCCGATTCGGGTTGTTAGGCATTCGAATGAATCAATGCTCTTGGCCAAGTTTGTGTTGACAAGGACACCGACGCCTCCAACACCTCTTTTATCGCATGTTCCGAGGAACAATTCTTCTCCAGTGTCGAAAACGGCATGGTGAGATTCGTGCCTTCTTGTCTCGGTCAGACCAATGATGTCGTACTTGATCATTCGCGCTTGTACCATCAGGTCCTCGATGGATGCATCTGATGCTAGCGTACGTGCATTGAAAGTACAGACGATCATTTTTGTCTTCCTTCGTTGTGGCAGCCTAGGTCGGCCTTGAGATTTTGTCGGCCTCTCCTTTCTCATCCTTCTCAGTGCTGCCATGTCGGTGAAGCCTTCAGGGTCAGGTGAATGAGACCAGTTGTAGTTACTGGGGGATCTAAAGGGGATGAGAAAAAGCTCTTCCTTTTCCAGCCAATGTAAATGTAAATGAAATGAAAATATGTAAATGAGGATCAACTATCCTGCCATTCCCTAACTTCCTCCAATCTTTATGACAGCTCCTTTATGACAATTTTATAAAAGAACATTTCTCTCCTTTGTTCTGGGAAATGCACGCTTTGTTTTGGGAAGTACTTCTTGGTTTGCTACAAGACTACAGCTTCCAGATTATATTTTTTCCTGTTTCCAGAATAAAGCCATTTGGTAAGAAAAAAGAAAGAAAGAAAGAAAGAAAGAAAGAAAGAAAGAAAGAAAGAAAGACTATCACCTGATTGTTGCCTCATTTGAACAAAATAGCCACCAGCAAGCCCTGTAGATAAATCAGTCAATAAACGGAATGAACAGAGGCTCACTGCTTAAATACTTGTGAGAAGGTTCTGAGTGTCCAGCTGCAGGGTTTTGGGGAGTCCAACTTGGGGAGTCTTCAGCACAACTGATTATCCGAACTGATGAGGTGGATTGATTCATCACCCATAATGAAGCCACAGGACATGGAGATGCCATGGAGAAAGGCAGATAGACTTGAAAATCAGTATTGCTAAGTGAGGGAATTGCTTTTAAGAATTTTGGGAAAACTTTGGATTTATAATCTCCGGGCTGGAGCGATAGCACAGTAGGTAGGGTGTTTGCCTTGCATGTGGCCTACCCAGCCAACTCGAGTTAGATTCCTCCGCCCCTCTTGGAGAAACCAGCAATCTACCGATAGTATCTTGCCCGCATGGAAAAGCCTGGCAAGCTCCCCGTGACGTCTTCAATATGCCAAACACAGTAACAACAAGTCTCACAATGTTGCTGGGCCTGTTCGAGCAAATTGATGAACAACGGGAGGACAGTGCTACAGTGCTGTAATCTCCAAAGTACTAGACTCGTGATAGAGTCCTTTGATGAAGGTTACTTAATTTATTGAATCCAGCATCTAATTAATGTTAGCTCACAGTAACATCAGAATATATTAAGTAAGGATAGACTTGAAAGCACTGTAGCACTTCCTCCCATTATTCATCGAGTTGCTCAAGCGGGCACCAGTAACGTCTTTATTGTGAGACTTGTTAGTGTTTTCGGCATATCAAATACACCACTGGGAGCTTGCCAGGCTCTGCTGTGGGGGCGGGATACTCTCAGTAGCTTGCTGTGCTCTCTATGAGGGGCGGAGGAATCAAACCCGGGTCGGCCAAGTGCAAGGCAAAAAATGCTCTACCCACTGGGCTATCCCTCTGTCCCTACCATGTGTGTATCTGCTGTTAATTGGTTTCGCTGGTGGTTTTGGCCATGACACATCTCTATATCACAGTGTCCTTATGACACTGATTTTCAGAGACACCAGCAAGCCTAGGGAGAAAAGTCAGTAATGGAAAAACTTGGGGGTGTTCTTGGTTATAGAAGTGTCATACCCAGCAGTGGTGGGTTGGAGGGGCAGGGTCATCTCAGAGTTGTGGCCCGATAGTACAAGTCTGACCATGGCTACACCTGTAAGCATTTTAAAATTCTTGTTTCTTCACTCTTATTTGCTTAAAGATAAGCATGCTTAAGGAAAAATAAAAAGCTTAAAGAAAGCTTTGTGAGAGAGTTATACATTATGTTTGCTTTCACAAATCTGGCAGGTTTCTATGGCTGTTGGGATTGTTTAGAGAATGAATTATCTTTTGTTTTCTTCATTTGTCTTGTAAAAATAAAGGTAGGGTCTTAAGACCTGAAAAAGATTCAGTCTCATTTTCTTTTAAAGTTTAATTTTAATGTTCTATGAAAAATGTTGTAATTTATGCATATTTAAAGTCATTTGTGAAACTCTAATCTTGCAATGTCTGGAAAATGATTAATCTATTTTTTTCTACTTTTCTTTTTAGATTGAAGAATTTCGAAGACTGAGGACACATGTTAAGGGGGCAGAACTTGTGGAAGGCTGTGATGGGATTTTGGGAGACAATTTTAGACCCACTCAACCACTCAGTGACAGAGTCATTAGAGCTGCATTTCAGTAGCCAGACAACAGGAACAAGTTTTGTCTTCCTCTGGGTATGTGCAGGTTAATAAGAAGAATGAAGCACACAGTTACAGAAACTTATGGCAAAATTACCTTTATGTAATCTTTAACATTTAGCAATGTGAGTGTAATACATGTTCATAATATTTTGTTCACACTGTCAAGCATTATTACAAATTAATTTTTTTAACTTCAGGTGATATTGAAAAAAATAATTGCCTCTTTATTTTCCCATCAGAGATGTCTTTAATTCCTAGCTTTTGTTCTAATATTAGCTTTCTTTTTTTTTTTTGCCCCTTTGTTTCTTGTGCTATACCTGGCTGTGCTCAGGGATCACTCCTGACTTGCTTGGGGGATCATATTGGGTACAGGGAATCAAATCCGGGTCAGTTGCATGCAAGGCAAAAGCCCTACCTCCTCTAGCCCACCGAATGTTAGCTTTTGTAAGGAGAGTTTCTTAAGGCAGAGGAATAGTAACATGATTTGCCTCTTTAGTAATTTTCTGTTTACTCCTTGGGATTTCATTGATCACCTCCAGATGATGGAGAAGCATAAAGGGAATAGGTGTATCTGAGAGATGATCTTTGTTGTCTAAAGTAGATTTGCTCATCTTGTATATTGATGTAACAAATGTAGGTGAAATAAGATATGGCAGGTATTAAAATATTTGTCCTGTTACAGAAGTCCTGTGACTTGTTCAACCAGTAGTCTCCTTTGATCATCTGAATATGCTATGTGACTTTATTGATTAAAACAGGGTTGGAGCAATAGCGGGTAAGGTGGCATGCGGCCAACCTGGGTTTGATCTCTGGCATCCCATATGGTCCCCTATGTACCGCCAGGAGTAGTTGATGAGTCCAGAGCCAGCAGTAACCCCTGAGTATTAGTGGGTGTGACCCCCAAAGCAAAATAAATTAATAAATAAAACATAGTCTATATATTTTAATCAATTGAATTCAATATGTGTACTTCTTACCCTTGTAAGGAACTACCAAATAAACATTATAGACATGGAAAAGTTAAGCTATAAATAAATTACTATATACTGTCAATACATGAGTCTATCCATACTGCTGGCAAACTACTGCTTCCTGTGAGAAGAAAACATCTGTTGCTAAAGTTTCCTAGGTGAGCAGGACAGAGTTTGACTGTTCAATAAACTATTGGGAGCTTGTACTACCATACTGTGTGAGTGGCATAATGGATTGGAACTGAGATGAAAAGAAATCTCTGGATTCAAGAAACTCACACAGTCTCATGAGTTAGACCAGTGTTTTCCAATCTGTTACTTGAGCGACACTGGACTGATCCAGAGGAGGCAGGTATAGGCTCAGGTGTTATTGAGGGCTGCTTTCTGTGTGTTTACTTAAATATAGATATTATTATAGATATTTTATCTATTATAGACGTAGATATTTTCAAGTGTCACTGTGTAATTTTTCTTTAAAGAGGGCAGCGATCCAGTAGGTTTGGGAATCTTTGAGTTGCATGATTGATGTAGGAGTTTTAAAAACTGATAATTCTGCAATTTTGTTTTTCAGTCTATTGTTTTCTCTGTCTTTGTGACTACCTTGTATCCCAGTACTCGAGATTGTCATTTTCTCCTTCTGTGAATGTTGTTTGTTCACATACTGTTTCCTGCTCTTCCTTTCACCAGTTGAACTCCTATTTTTACTACAGCTAGTTTAAATACTATGGAGCCATAGCGTAGCGGGTAGGGCATTTGCCTTGCATGCAGCCAATCTGGGTTCGATTTCTCTGCCCCTCTTGGAGAGCCCGGCAAGTTACTGAGAGTATTCCGCCCTCATGGCAAAGCCTGGCAAGCTACCCGTGACATATTCAACATGCCAAAAACAGTAACAACAAGTCTCACAATGGAGACGTTACTGGTGCCCGCTCGAGCAAATAAACAACGGGAGGACAGTGCTACAGTGCTACAGTGCTCAGTATGAATTTTCTGCTTCTGTCCTTCACTGTAATTGTTATTGTTTTCTTGATGAACTTTTCACCAGGAATGGTGTAAGTCACTAGGCAAACAATGGAAGGTCTCTGCTTTTAGAGTAGGTTTTATGTGGTTGCAATAGTGTTACTATTTCTGATTTTGCTTTACAAAGTTTGTATCTTCATCTCCACCAAATGCCCAACACCCTCTGCTACTATCCTATGTCTCTCTTCCACCTTTCCTCCACTGCATAGTGATCTCAATTTTGCAATCAAGGACTAAGGATTTATCATCATTTGATACTGTCTTCTCCCTTGTTTTGTTTTCTGTATACTATAAATGATTTGTTCTTTTCCCTCTGACTTATTTCTGGTTCATACTAGTCAAAGAAAACTGGAAGAATTTATTATTTTCATAACTGCATAATATTCTTTTGATTATATTTACATTGTTTTGTTTTATTTATTTATTATTTTATTGATTCACTGTGAGGTACAGTAACAAAACTTTCATGTTTGAGCTTCGATCATACAGTATCAAACACCCATCCCTTCACCAGTGCACGTTTTCCACCACCAAAATCCTCAGTATCCCCTCCATTCTACACCTCCCCCCACCTGTGTGGTAGACATTTTGTACAATACTCTATTTCTCTGTTTTAGTTACCTTAGGTATTTCAACACCAGTCCCACCACGACTCATACCTGCCGAAAAGGCAATGCTAGACAATGTATTTTGTATTATATTAGATACAATATAATGTCATGCGGCCAGGAGAGTGGCCATGCACTCTAGGAATTCTAAAATTTTAATAATTAGGATCTGAAGAGATCGTCACAGCAAGTTGCTCAGGTCCAAGATTCGTTTGTGTCTCTGGATCATGGCTGTCTCAGAGCTTAAGTAGACATCTCAAACTCCTGTTGGGGCAGAGGGAAGGAGAAGGACCTACTCCTCCCCTGTTCTGTGAGGCTTGGCATCTGCTGCCACCACCTCACATACCTGGAACTTGTTGCTGACTTCTAGAAAATGGCGGCCACCAGGGCTCCTAGAGGGGAGGTGGAAGGACGACACCTGCCCTGTTCTCGAGTAGCCCAGTGGAAATGGCCTTTTGCAAAGTCCAGGGCCATCTCTGCAGCAAGTTGCTTGGGTCTGAGATTCGTTTGTGTGTCCTTGTTTTGTTTTAAATACTATCTGTTGTTGAATATTTGGGTTGTTTAATTGTAATTCTTATTTCACATTCTTTCTTCCACTTAACTCCTTGTGTGTGTGTGTGTATATATATATGTATATATACATATATATATCTTTTTCATAAACCTTAAGGTTATTAAGGGCTGAAATATGTTTATTTTATTTCAGTTATGAAAATTATGAAACATAATACTTTGTGACTTGAAGATCTTTAGGCAAATTATAAGTTTTCAGATTACAGATTTGCATATTAGCTAGCTACAGTGCAATTATTATTTCCTGTTTTTAAAACTGGGAGAAAATGAGACCCTAGCAAGGTCACCTTCATAGGAATGAAAAGAAACTTTCAGTAAATTTATGAATGGAGACAATTCAATAATGTTGAATATGATAACTATAGTAGATCAACTAAAGAACTAATATAACATTAAGTCAGAAGTCATTATTGAGTCTCTGCTATGTGATTGATTCTGGGTTTAGAGAAGTTAGCAGAACGTTTGTTAGAAAATCTTTTCCCTTGCAAAACAGAGTCTTAAATGGAGAGTCTGTAGTAGAAAAACAAAAATATGCAGTTATAAATTTTGATAAATCCCATGAATAAGATGAACAAAGAAATGTAATGGAGAAGATTTCAGCTTGAAAGAATACGTTTTACAAAGGCCCTGAGCATCTGTTTCCTACTGAGAAGGTAAGAATCTGATGAGTTCAGGTACCTGAGAGAAGGCCCCATGAGGCTTGAGCTATCAAAGGGAAGTTTAGGTAGGGCACATCTCTTACCTTGTCAGCCATGTTAATGCATTTGTTATTATCAATGCACTTTGAATTTGTTGTATGTTTCCCATGAGCCTGGAGATCAAAGTGAAGAATGAATGGATTGGGTTATAGTGGCCAGGCAGGAGCGGAAAGATATTTTGGAAGTGTGTTGAGTAGCCAAAGTGAGAGATACAGATCCTCAGGCTCTAGGTTAGGGCCAGTGGAGATCTAAGTTAATGCATGTGAAATGGACATTGAAGAGTCATTCAGTGAATAACTGGATAAACGTGGAATGAGATGAAACTAAAAGATAGCATGTGAGATTAGGGATTTCAAATATTGTGTAGGTAAGAGGACTATTGAGTGACAGCAAGAAACCTGGAGGAGGCTCTGGCAAATTGGAGCATGTTTCATGAAAACTGCCTGTCAGTCAAAACAGATCCATCATAAAAGTAGATGGAGTTTCAAGTGAAGATCAGAAAAGAGTTCTGAATAAATGCTGGAATATTTGGCATAGAAGAGCTGTCTAATACCATGATTAAAAAAGATATTCATAATCTATTGTGTACTGTAAAATCTTATCACGCCGAAGGTTGTATGTTCACGGGCTCACTGGACGGCACTGTTTCAACGCCTGCATTCGGTGCTCTTGAGCCACTGTGTGTGGCCTGGATCGAAATGGCTGTTGGCCAAGGGCAGACGGAAGAAAAAACGGGGGCCAGGCCGGTCTATATTAATAGTAGTTTATTCCAATCCTCTTCATTCCTGTCTTTCTCTGCCTCCTTCTCTCCTGGGCCCCAGTCTTGGAAGCTCTCTCCTTCTGGCTCTGACTCTGGATCTCTGGAGCCCGAGCTCTCTCACTTCTGACCCCTTTTCCGATCTTACGTTTTTAGTTTATATAGCAGTCACATAAGGCGGTGACATAAAGGTGGGTTGAATACTGACGAATCAACAAAGAGAGGTAAGACCACTCCTCCAGGAGATTAACTCAAGGATAAAATCTCATCTACAGAGATTACTTCAGATTACTAGGAGATCCACCCAAGGGTGGGATCCCAACAAGGGTGTGTTCTTCCTTCAGTTAGTAATCTACTTAAATAGTTGTAATAAATTTACTTCTAATATTTCTAGCAATGTCATTCTGTA